AAGATAGGTCAGTGATTATAAGTTGTATAAATTCCTGGGTGAGAGGTCTGGAAGGCTGCCCAGGGCCTAACTATGTTGTGTATCAATGCAAGTCCCAGGTGAAGAATTTTAGGTGGCCCGTCCTTATTGGAAGAAACTCCCTACCCCTAGTTTTTCAGTTAGGGCCTGAGCCTGCCATTAGCAGCTGGAGAAGCTACAGCTTCTCAGTCCTCAAATTTCCAATTGTAATCATTAAAAATGTGTGAATAGGGAGAAATTGTGGGCATTAGTAATGTACTGTATTCCTGCAGAAACTTTTGCTTACAGCAGAACTAAACTAAAGAGCCTGGTCTGAAAGGTCATTAGAGGTAGAGAACACCTTCTCTGGGAAGACCTCACTGCCTGTCAGAACCACTGTGACATCCAACTTGGAGAGATAAGAGTTCTGGAAGGAAGAATTCAAGGGCAGATTGAAGGGCCAGTTGGAATCCCACCAGTGGGTCCTTTCTGTCTTTATGGACCTTTGCCTCTGTGTCTCCACGTTAGTGTGAAGATCAGACATCTGCTATTATCTAATGGGCACATCAAGCAGAGATATGGGTGGTGTGTGGAGTGAGAGAGTTCTTTTCTTCAGGCAATGCATCCACCACAACTTAGTAACGAAGCCCCTGACTGTGTTCTGGTTTAGGGTCCTTCATACTCTTCCTGGGCCATTGGCCCTCAGAACTGGCCATCTGCGCTGCCCAGGGCCTCTGCCTCCAATTTATCAGCTTTCATCTGATAGGTTTGTCCCTTATCTTCCCTGGCTTTCCCACCTGTATTTGACTTTTCACTTGGATATAACATCTTTTGCTTCTAAGATTCAGTTGTCATTCTCCCTTGGACATTTTTGGGAATTAATCTCTAGCCCTTATACAGTATCACCCAGCTCATCTTCATTTCAAATCAGGTGTATAAGATGGGTGCTGGTGGCTCACACCTGTAATCCTAGTTACTCAGGAGGCAAAGATCAGGAGATTCTCAATTCGAGGCCAGTCGGAGACCTTATTTGGAAAATACCCAACATAGAAAAGGATTGACAGAGTGGCTCAAGTGGTGGAGTGCCTGACTAGCAAGTGTGAAGGCTTGAGTTCAAGCTTCAGTACTGCCAAAAAACCCCCAAACAGTTATATACATAACTTTGAATCTGACAAAGTGGTACCTAGTATGGTGGGTAACATAATGACCATTTCTTTTTATACCATCATAAAAATAAAATCTTTCACCCCTTGAAAAGACTCTGTCACTTCTGTCTAGAACGCCTCACCATTTACAACACCATCATGTAGTTCTAGGCTGACTTGTTTCCTTCTTTTAGTTCTTCCTTTAAGCTAGAGCAGGAAAGACTCTCCTGGGCCACACTTTAAAGTCACTGGAGCTGGATCCTTTGAAGGCTGTCCTAAGCCTTCCACTTTAACCACTAAAGATAGTGCCTTAGACTTTGGAAGTTCCAATAGTTCCATCTCCTTCAGTTGGGAATTACCACATCTTGTGAATAGGATTTTTGAGAAAATGCACGCGACTGGCCGGGCATTGTGGCTCATGCCTGTATTACCAACTACTCAGGAGATGGAGACACAGAAGACTGCAGTTCAAGGCCAGCCCTGGCAAAAATTGGCAGGATCCCCATCTTAACCATGCTGGGCGTGCTGGTGTGTGCCTCAAGTTCCAGCTATGTTGGAGGCCACAGTCTCAGGCTGGCCCCAAGCAAAAACTCAAGACCTTGCCTGAAAAATAACTGAAGTAAAAAAGGGCTGGGGGTGTGACTCAAGTGGAGAGTACCTGCCTAGCAAACATGAGGCTGAGTTCAAAAGCCAGTACCACCAAAAAAAAAAAAAAAGAAAAAGAAAATGCTCAACACTTTTCCTGTTAGGCCTGGTGCTCACTAAAGTCATGTTAGACTTCCCGCCACTTTCACCTATTCCTTTTCACCTTGTCACTTAGAGCTGCAGTCAGTAAATGTGTAAGCAAGAGTTGTCGCTAGCCCATACCTGGAAAGCCTCCCATACATACCCCTGGAGAATTTATCAGTGGGTACATATTTCCCAGCAGGTGATGGACAAAGTATCAAGTTTCACCACTCAGCAGTTAGATTTCTTTTCAGTTTAATTTCCTTATAACACAGATCCTAATGCTCAGACTACTATTAAGTAAGATAAACGGCTTGGTGCTATTAGCAAGACCTTGGGCCAGGGCCATGGGCACTTACTCATGTGCCTCAGTGCACAATGATTGGTTTAAAAGAGTGAGAAAAGGGTATACACCTGTAATCCCACCACCAGGAGGCTGAGGCAGGAAGATTATAAATTTGGGCCTAGCCTGGGCTACATAGTAACACCCTGTCTCAAAAAGTCAAACAAAACAAAAACCTAAAAAAAAAGAAAAATAGAAAAAAAGGGTGAAAATGCTTGTTTTTCCTTTGCAATGCCTCTTATTTATAACTTTTTTTTATACCAGAGGCTCTGTTCCAAGCTGAAATTCTGGGATCATGATCACATTGTTAATGGGTTTTGCAGAAATGAGTATTCTTAATTGACTTCCTGAAATACCCACTAAGATTTAGTTCCCAGGAAATGGTGGGTTTGTGGTTAGAAGGTGATGGCAGAAGTCTTTTCTAGGCCTGTGATTTATATCTACTCTTGGACATATATGTAATGCCCTCTCTTATTTTGCAGTGGCCTTGCTCAGCTAAGTATTTGACTGGGTATAAATTATACTGGCTTTACCTAGTGTATCAGGAAACAGATGGTGTACATAAATAGGAAAATCAGAGGAGAGTTCATTTACAAAGAGGCCGTTACAAAAGTGTGTGTGACACGTAGTGCAATCACAAGAAAAGGTAATGCAAGAATCTAAGATTTAGCCCATGAATGGATAATTTCTAGGATTGAAATTAAATCCATTCCATGATGTACTTTAGAATGATGTTCCAAAGATAAAGATGTCCTCATGTGCACTGACACCTTTAAGCAAACCATCTGACTCACTTCTTCCTCTGCTAAGCATGGAAAAATAGGAGGGCTCTTAAGATCCTAACTATGCTCCAGGATTGATGAGAACGTATGGTAATAGAGATAGTTTATCCTCAGCTTCCCTGTATCTGACAATACACACTTTGCTCATCTTACACAGGGTTGAGCTCTCTGCAGAAAGGAGAGATGGGGGAGAAGATGGAATGAAAAGGAAGGTTTAAGCAAAAACCCTTGTCCCTTCCTGTTATTGCTTATATTCTCTCTACAACAAAATTAGAAATAAGGGCAAAATAGTTTCTGCTGGGTATTGGAGGGGGGAGAGGGAGGGGGCGGAGTGGGTGGTAAGGGAGGGGGTGGGGGCAGGGGGGAGAAATGAACCAAGCCTTGTATGCACATATGAATAATAAAAGAAAAAGGAAAAAAAAAAAAGGAAGGTTTATAAGGGCTCAGGATGTAGTGGGTTCCAATCCCAGCACAAAAAGAAAAAAGGAGGAAAAAAGGAATGTTAGCATCAATTGAGAGTGAGCCATGGCACTCTGTGGCCCAAGACCCTGGGACATTTAGAGTTAATGATTGGTCCCAGCTCTCACTGACCTGTCCTGCCTCAGCACAAAGGCCAGACTAGAACCTTCTTGCTGTGCTCACTTTTCTTGGAGCTTCCAAGAGTTTGGAACTTAGAACATTTGGTTCACATGATTGCTATATGTTGAGGATATTTAGGAGTTGCAAAGACAGGTGAGCTGGGGTCTAAATAAGATGCAGCATAGATGATGATTAAGAGGTTTGATTCAGATGATGATGAAGAGATTAACATCAAGAGGTTATATTCTGTCTCTGCTCCTTACAGTCTCTGTGACCTTGGGTTACTTAAGAGTTCTTCAATGTCTCTGTTTTTCAGTTCCCCATCTGTAAAATGTACCCACCTCCAGCGTTCTAGGGAGAGTCAGTGAGTTAGCATTTGCAAAGTACTAACTTTAGAGCCCAAGCACATGGAAAGCACTGTACAAACGCTGGTAAAATCAAACTTGAATCATGCTAATCATTGGGCATCTTTTCTCAGGCTTAGCTGATCCAGGGATTCTTGAGGTTGGTGGTATTTTCCTTCGTGTCTGTCAATGTACACCTGGCTGTATATTAAAGGGTTATTGGAAAGTGAATATGATTGATGTACTTTTTATACAAGAATAAACACAGAATTTTAAAACCCGTTGAAATCACTATAAGAAGGACTATGGTAGAAAGGAGAAAAATGAAGGGATGAACCAATTTGGGATATAATACATATATACATGGAAATGTCATAATGAAACTCCCCGGATAGCTGTCTTAAACAAACAAAAATGTCTTTTTTCTAAAATGGAGGACAGGAAGGTAAAACAGGTCCTGTCTGGAGATTGGTATCAGGGGGAGGAAGAAGAACATAAAGAAAGAGTGTAGAAGGGTGAATATGGTAGAAATATTATGTACTCATGTATGAAAATGGAAAAATGAGACCTGTTGAAACTGTTCTAAGAATGAGGGAAGGGGACAAAGGAGAATGATAGAGGGGGTGAATTTAACTAAGATATATTATAAGCGCTTTTGGAAATGTCACAATGTACCTCCAAATACAACAATAATGTGATTATAAAAAATAAATAAAGGTATTAGGTTTGCATGGTTTTTTAGGGAGGGATGCAAATTGCCTCTTATTCAGATTCTTTTCTGAAAATGAAAGCTGAGCAATATTGACTTTCAGGTAACAGGGAAGAGTAGATCCCTGCTATGATCACTGTCTACTTCTGTGGTAGGATACGATCAAGGGTATTGTTAATCTAGGCTAAATAAGACCATTTTGACTGCTACACATTGGCAAGGTTTAGGATTACTGGGACACTACTTACCTTACCCCTCACTGAAAATTTTCTTCTGTGATTTATAATAAATTCTGCTAGGTAATCTAAGTTCTGAGAATTACCACAAATAGGATTGAATAATGATAGTATTTTAATTTGGGGTTCTCACCAGGAGGAATATAGAGCCTTTCACCAAGGCAAGAAGTTTCTGCCAAAGACATGCTGGCTTGTTCAAGAAAATCCTGTTGAGCCTGTTGTGTTTGGGTGAGTTAATGAGACTCCATGGAAGCCAGAATCACAGTCATTTTAGGGATGTTACATTGTGTCAAGATGATTAGTAGGTGAAAACCTATTTTATTCATGAACTGACTTAAAAACTATTTGAAGTACAAATCTTAAAAACTTGCAGGCAATCCTTAATTTATTGAATTGTGCATACAGGAACAGATAAAATCTATATGATTTGACAAAATATTTCAGAGGCTAGGAACTTATTTCCTTTTTAGTGTCTTGATTTGATGCAGGGTAAAATTTCTTGTAGTCTTTATAAGAGAAACTGGTTTACAAGGAAAATCACTGACATAAAACATTTTTAAAAGACAGCAAACTTCTCTTTAAAGTATGCAGTTGGTGACATGGGTCTTTGATGTCAACATTAAAGGCAGCTAGGGTACTGAGATAAAAATTTATCCTTTGGGGTGAGTTGAGGAGAATGAGGTGAAGGCCGTATGGCTTTACTTCCTAGTGGTAGCCTTGTTTACATGGTTTTGTTCAAGAGGAAAGTTTAACCTTTTAACACAAATGAGACCCTAGAGCTTTAGGATGAGATGACTGACTTTTGAAGAGTCTAGTGGTGGATGCCGATCAAATGTACTCAAGGAGCAAGGAGAGGTTACCAGACATGATGATAGGGAGTGAGAGTTCTTCATGCACAAGTGAAAATATGTGGTTTTCAAACTAAGTTGGCTTGTCCTTGGAGATGTCAAGAAGACTGTAGCTAGACATCTGCTTTTCCCTGAGAAGTAAGGCCCAATCTGACAGCAAGACTGGGTGGCAAGGTCTCTGGAGGACTTTTCTCAGTCTAAGACACTCATGGCTGCAGCTTCATTTGCCCTGTGGAAACTGCTGATCTGACTCTCCACCTTTTCTTTCTAGCTTATGCTGCCTACTTCCTGGCAGCTTGCATTCTGGATTTCCAGAGAGCACTGGCTTTATTTGTCATCACCTGTCTGGTGATCGTTGTCCTGGTTTTCCACTTTCTGAAAAAGCTCTTTGGTGAAAAATTAAAAAGATGTCTGAAGCCCTTAAAAAACCCCCGCTTGAGACTTTGGATGAAACGGTAAGTGTATAATCAGCTTTTGGTTTCTGTGACGAAATACCTAAGATAAATAGCTTGAAGGAGTAAAGGTTTATTTTGGCTCACAGTTTAAAGGGCTCAGTCCTTTGTTTCTTGACTCCATCACTGTGGGCTTGTGGCAAGACAGGACATCATGATGGGGGAGGCATGTGGGATAATGGTGCTCACCTCATGGCAGCCAGGAAGTAAAGAGAGTGAGAGTACAAGGGACAGGAGACAAGATATTCCTGTCAAGGGCATACCCCTAGTGACCTAGGCCCCACCTACTATAGTTTTTTCCAATAGTTCTTTCAGTTATAAACCCTTCATGAGATTAATCCATTGATAATATCAGAGCCCTTGTGATCAAATCACTTCCCAGAAGCTCCACTTCTAAAAATGGCTGCACTGGGGACCAAGCCTTTAATATGAGTCTTTGAGGGCATTTTATATCCAAGCCATAACAGTAAGATAAGAGTCTTAATATCCCTGGCCTCACAATTTATCTCAAATCCCAGTCTGCTTCTTCTTTTTCCTCCTTTAACAGTCCCAGGCTGGTCTCTCAGACCCTCATCAATAGTTACTAAAAAAGTGCAGAGGACAAATAGCAACAAGCCTCTGAGCACCAAATCCTAGTCCAGTGAGAGTTTTGGGTCAACACTGCTAGGAGAAAGAAGAGGCTGAGTTTGAGAGAAGAGTTTCAGTTTGTTTATCATTAGAGCCCATGTCAGAAATGAGAAAAATCATGCTCCTCTTCAATGAAATAATCAGAATAAAGATGTTTATAGCTATGTTAAGCTATCAAGTTGACTTGTGGTCATCTGTGTGTCCCTTAGTTTCCTGTTACTTTTTATGCTTTCTTCCTTTCTAGATCTTTCTAGACCTCCATACTTCTATACTCACTGGTATCTTTTTTTTTTTTTTTTTTGTGGTACTGGGGCTTGAACTCAGGGCCTATACCTTGAGCTACTCCACCAGTCCTTTTTTGTGATTTTTTTTTGAGATAGGATCTTGCAAACTATTTGCCCAGGCTGGCTTCGAACCTCGATCCTCCTGATCTCTACCTCCTGAGTAGCTAAGATTACAGGTGTGAGCCACAGGCACCTGGCTTCACTGGTGTCTTTTATGATTGCTTAGATTTTGAGGAAAAAGCTTACTGTTAAGTGTATTCTGCACAGTAGCCAGAGATCATCTAACTATGGATGCACGTCCTTTGGTCAGAGGTCAGGGGTGAGAGTATAACTTCCAGACTTATATTTAAAGTTCTTATTTCTGCCCATTTTACAATGGATGTACAGGAAATAAGTGTGAAGGATATTTGTAACAATGACAGTTTGCAAAAATAACACCAGATTTCCAACTAAATTATGGAGCATCGATTTATTTCACACGGGAGAGTAGAACTAAAGTGACTTTGTTCATTAAGCAAAATGGGTTCTGGAAGCCAGATTTTATTCACTTCAAGTGAGATGGGTTTACAGTGAGAAGAGCTCTGAATTTCAATACTGGCCTATAATTCTTTTGTTGTTTTGCTCTGGAGGTCTCAATCAATATGTGCTCTCTTGTTTTGTTTTTATCTGTGATTTCTCTTTTAATTCTTTTCTCTAGGACTTGAAGGACTTTAAAATTCAGACATGAGGATACCAGCCTTGTATTTACCAAATATATTTTATTCATGAAAGGAACATAAATCCATAAGTAGCTAATTTGTGGCTAAACACTTATTCTTGTACTTGGATTGGCTAGAATTGGTTGGGTATCCATGTGTACTTCTTTCTCCTTTGGGTTTTAGTATTTTGGTTATTCATTGGAGCAGTCTTCAAGAATGAGTATATCACATCTTATTCATATGTGAACATGAGAAAAGTCATAGGATTTGTGCCCTCAAATTATAAACTTCATTCTGTGAGTAAACTGGGAGGAAAAAGGTGGAAGCTAAGGAATTAGCAGATAAAATATTCTCAAGATCTGTCTCTGTGTCTAATCAACGATAAACTATTGAATTATTGCACTTATCCTTGAAGTGAACCTGCATTTTTCAGAGGTAAAGTTAATGACTGTTCATTGACTTGCATCAGTGACATGTCTTGGCTTTCCCTCTTCAGGGTGTTCGCAGGACTGTCTGTGGTTGGCCTTATCCTGTGGCTGGCTCTAGACACAGCTCAAAGACCAGAGCAGCTGATCTCCTTTGCAGGAATCTGTATGTTCATCCTCATCCTCTTTGCCTGCTCCAAACACCACAGTGCGGTGAGTTATGGGTATTCAGGTTGGGTATAGCAACACATTAACAAGAACCAAGTACTAATTACAAATATGCATGTCAAATATTCATTACAGGTATAGAAGTATGTTTTTAGCACCCCCTGGAATTTGCCTCATTGACAGTTTTGTTCCTAGAAGTGTTAGTGGCCCTAGACAACTTATTTTCAAACTGTAGATTGTACTAAGTGAGTCTTGATAAAGGTTTTGTGGATTTAGGCCAGCATTAAAGAAAAATACAAGAAAAAAATAAAGAAGGAAAATAGAATACAATTGAGAATCAGGTTGCATTGTCTATAATAATGCTAGAATATTAGTTCTGGAATCTAATCTGTAATAGATTATAAGAGTCATCTCACTTCTAAGTATATTTTAAAAACCATGTGGAAATATTTGGCTTTTTACATATTACTGGTCTTTTTCTCTTTACCATTCTCCCTGCTCTCTACACTGTCCTACCCCAGTTAGCATCCTAGGTTGGTTCCACCCAGAGTGCATACATAATCAAACTCCAACCAGATAATGATCAAGTAGGGCTTAGAACTCACTTTAGAGTACTTTCCTTATTGATCCTAGGTATCCTGGAGGACAGTGTTTTGGGGCCTGGGCCTTCAGTTTGTCTTTGGGATTTTGGTCATCAGAACTGATCCTGGATTTCATGCATTTCAATGGCTGGGAGAACAGATCCAGGTACGGGAAGTTGTGAAAGATTTGTCCTTTTAGAATCCTAAAGAAAGAAGATTGGAAATTAGACTGTTTCTTGTTAATTGTGGTGGTGCGAGATCTGACTGGAAAGGAAAAAAGAGTAATGGGATACTGTTAAGAATGAACTTAGCTATGGAGAGAACTTATCTGTTGAGTCTATAATTCAATAAGCAGCTCTTGGGGACATGGCCTGCTCACAGGTGGTCAAAGGGTAACTGATCTCAGTTGCAGCAGTAGGTCTTAATCATGAATGAAGCACTGATCTCATCTTCCCTGTGTCCTGCCTGGCTTCACTCATTTCTCTGTATTTTTTCCCTCTTTAGATTTTCCTGAACTACACTGTGGCTGGCTCCAGTTTTGTCTTTGGGGATGAGCTCATTCAAAATGTCTTTGCTTTTCAGGTCATGTCTGTTTTATGGGCAGGAATGATGGTCAGTGGAGGGGAAGGGGAGTAAAGCAGAGGATGAAAATGTGTCTCCAAGAGATTAGTTGTCCAAAGAAGAGGGTTTAATCCCCTTGGTAAAGGAAACAGTGTTCATTTTTTGCCCTTGGATCATTACTATTCTTTGCCCCCCCTTTTTAAAACTTTTAAAATATTTTTTAGATCATTAACATTCTGAAACTAGATGAAAGAGAGGGGTGGGGAAAAAAGGCTCAGAAAACATCTCCTTGTGGTTTTAGTACTGATGGAGTAATGGATTTACAGTCCACTTTGAATTTGTTCCTAAACTGTACTGTATCATATGCTCTTGCAATGCTGAGAGCTCCATTTAGAGGCCTGAGAGTGTTTACTTACAGCACACATAGCACATGCAATGTAATATCTCACCAGATGCCCACAATTCTCATTACAGTCCTTGCCAATCATCCTTTTCTTTGGATGTGTGATGTCCATTCTCTACTACCTGGGCCTTGTGCAGTGGGTAATTCAGAAGGTGAGTCAGTTTTCTACATCATTCAAGAGATGGGCCTTCGTCTTAGGATCTACCAAGGGCATGAAGATGACATTTACTTTGGAAACATGCTCATATTTAGGATGTAGAGTGTTAGGATCAGTGTGAAAAGGCAAACCCTTCTAAGCCTCCTGATATCAAATGGTCACTCAGGTCCTAAATAAGCTGAGGGGGAGAGCAGTGAGAGAAGCTAGGCTGGATCACCCTTTCACACTGAGAGGCCTAGGTCTAGTCAAGGCTCTGTTTGTAGTTTGTTTTGTGACCATGTGTCACACTATTTCTCTAGGCCTGAGTTTCCTTATCATTGAAGTGGAAGAGGAAGAGGGTTTTTTGCTGGGCATTCTCCAAGATTCCCACTAATGTTGATGGCTTAGGTCTCTGAATTCTTTTAGATCACCTGGGTTTTGCAAATCACCATGGGTACCACCGCCACAGAGACACTGGCTGTGGCAGGAAATATCTTCGTGGGGATGGTAAGTACCCTGAGGTCCTCGGTCTCTTTTCCCTGACAAACTGAAAACTTGGCAGAAAACAGGTTTATAAAGGTATGCTTTCCTTATGAAAAGTTAAACAAATAAAGACTACAGGGCAGCCAATCCATGATTAAAGAAATCTCAGAAGCTCAAAGAGGACTCAGCTCCTTGCTTTCGCCCTTTGTGCCTGATAATACTTATCTGGGCACATTTAATCTGAATGGGCAGCCTTAGCCTTAGCCAGTGATCCAATCTCCCTCCCTCCCTTCCTTCCTTTCTTCCAACACAAAGCCTTACTATATAACCCAGAATAGCATTGAATCTGCTTTTAGCCCAGGCTGGCCTTAAACTTATGAACCTCCTGCCTCTGTCTCCTGAGTACTGGAATTACAGGCATGTACCACCATGCCTAGCCTTGGTCCAACTTCTTACACAGGACTATAGAGGAATGTCCTGGTCCTAATCTCATTCCCTTTGAGGAGCTATGAAAGGCATTTGATCTACGTTTTTGTTTCTCCCTGTGGCTCTTCTTTCCAGGGTTTCTGAAGAGGCAATTGCTTGTCTTGCTCAGGACTAATACTAAGGTTCTCCCCTATAATACTTGCTTGGTTCATTTGTCTGCACAGAGTAGGTCCTCAATACATGATATTGGCTGATCAGGTCAACATCAGGGACAATAGCTTGGCAAATTGGCAAGGAGTTGGTATTGAAGTCTTTTCTCCCAAGGCCATAAGTTGATTTCCTGCTTCTGATGTGTTCTTTGAGTACTTCTGCGTACTTCTATCATAGCTCTTCATATTTTGCAAAAGTTATGCACAATCAACTTAGTTTTCCCAGCTAGACTGTAATCTCCTTGGAGTTGGAACTTTGCCTTATTCACATTAATACCTCTAGTACAGCACTTTAGCACTTTAGTTGGCACTCATTAAATAAGTAACATTATCTTAGGTGGATGCTAGACTCAGTTTCCACAGTTGGGTCTTCTTCATTTCATAAAATTTTCATAGACACTATTTCTTTTGATTCTTTCATAAAGAGTTGGTTTAGACCAGTTATATGCAATTCATGTAATGAATTCTTTGTAAGCATTTAATGTATACTCAGTAAATGCACTGTATTCCATGAGCTCAGTCAGTAAATGCATGGTTTTAGACATGGAAAACACCATTATCTTCTATAACATTTTAAAATGTGATATTTTAAAGGGGGAAGTGGGGAGGGGGAGGAGGTGGCCCATACAGTGTATTCACATGTGAGTAAATGCAAAAACAATACAATTTTTAAAAATGTGATATAGAAACAGGTGAGAATGATGTCAACCAGGACATGATTAGGGCTAGGCAGAGTGAGGCAGATGCTGGGAGGGCCCAAGGGCAGAGCTTGTCCACTGGAAGGCTGTGTCACTGAACAACACTCACACTGGAGGGTGGTATGTTTAATGGGTTCAGTCCCTGGGCTTGGGTGGGCACTCTGGCATGGGGAGTCACACTCTCTTGACTAGTCTCTCCTTGTTTATAGACTGATGCACCTCTACTCATCCGTCCCTACCTTGCAGACATGACCCTCTCTGAAATTCATGCAGTGATGACTGGAGGATTTGCCACCATTGCAGGCACTGTGTTGGGAGCCTTTATATCCTTTGGGGTAGGTATAACTGCACAACCACTCTTGGGTGAGCTCAAGATGAGTTCTACAGTGATGCTGATCCCCACTCTGGCCTTACAGATTGATGCATCATCCTTGATTTCTGCTTCCGTGATGGCTGCCCCTTGTGCTCTGGCTTTGTCCAAGCTGGTATATCCAGAAATAGAAGAGTCCAAGTTCAAGAGTGAGGAGGGGGTGAAACTGTCTCGTGGGTGAGTCTGAGGAGGCATTATAATTTGTGGGATGTAAGGTAGATGAAGAGTCAAGGACAGTCAGTTGTGGCAGAGACTTCACATTTCCCTGAGGGGCAGAATGTGGTTCCATATCCCCTCTCGCCCTTCACTGCCTCTAGTTAATTGTGTTCATTTTCTTCTTTGGTTTAACCCTCCCACCTGCCTCTAGCTTCTGCATGCCAGTACCCTCTGTCCTTAGCATCAGTGCAATTTTATGACAATTATATCTGATATTGCTTCAGTCTAATTCCCACTAATAGGGTCACTCAGTAACCCTATCACTTCTCACAGTAGTCTTGTACCCACTTCCTGGATTACAGGAGCAATGGGATTTCACTTCTCTGAGACTATCTAGGTATTTTATTCTTTCCCTATACCCAATAACCACAGGAAGGAGAAGAATATCCTGGAAGCTGCAAGCAATGGAGCCACAGATGCAATAGGCCTTGTTGCTAATGTAGCAGGAAACCTGGTTGCCTTTTTGGCTGTATTGGCCTTCATCAATGCTACCCTCTCTTGGCTGGGGGAATTGGTGAATATACATGGGCTCACTTTCCAGGTAAAGGATTACATTTATTGCCCATTCTCCATGTGGTTCAGTAGACCTTGAACTGTGTATGTCCTCTTGATCCACAGTAAGCTAAGAGAAAACGAATAGGAGAGAACAGAAAGAGACTGAGCTAAGGATCCACAGAAGGCCTAAGGCACCTAACCTTTGTTGTTTGTTCTTCCTTTTTCTGGGGTACATCGCTTTCACTCAGGTCATATGCTCCTATGTCCTAAGGCCCATGGTTTTCATGATGGGTGTAGAGTGGGCAGACTGTCCAGTGGTGGCTGAAATAGTGGGAGTCAAGTTCTTCCTTAATGAATTTGTGGCCTATCAACAACTGTCTCAATATAAGAACAAACGTCTGTCTGGAATGGAAGAGTGGATTGAGGGAGAGAAACAGTGGATTTCGGTAAGTGACAATTCAGAAAACTATAACTAGCATGAGGTCTTGGTCATGGTTATCTGAGGGTAGACAGAAGGTGCTATGCAAAAGTTGGTGGCAGACCCACAGGTGCTTTTCAGGTTTGAAGGCCTAACCACAAAGCAAGCAAAACCACAGGCTTAGCAGCCTTGCCTCTGGTACCTGAACTACTTACCCCAAGTCTGTGTGCTGTTCCTCCCCTGAGCTCTGCCCAAACTTTGCTCTATAATGTAACTGTTGGGTCTTTACAATTGAGGTAGTCTGGGGAACACACAATTTTTTTGATGTCTAAATTTCCCTTCTTTATAAGATTAATTTGCTATGAATTTATTTCCTTTTTCTCTTCCTAGATCATCCCCCTCAATCATCCTCATTCCTGTCTTCTCCTTATACATGACATTCATTAAAATAGTGTTGGGCAAAGTGACTTGTGGCAGTTTTCATATTGCTATCCTCATTGTAACTCAGCAGTTATTTTCTGAGCATCCTTTGTGGGTTCCTTAGAATAGTGTAGAAAAGACTAGATGCTCTAAGTACTCTGAAACTTCTACCATGATTGTAAGACTGCACATATAGGACTAAATTTGTCTACTTATTTTGTTTTTCCTAGGTGAAAGCTGAAATCATTACAACATTTGCACTCTGTGGATTTGCCAATCTTAGTTCCATAGGAATCACACTGGGAGGCTTGAGTGAGTTGTTAATTTTTCCCAGTTCGCTGATAAGGCAGGCAGATCTCAGCTTTTATAGTATGTAGTTCCTGGTGCTTAGTATACATGGAGAGAAGATGGAGAAACTAATGTGAAATGCATCCTCTGAGGCTGCAGTTAACTTGGGGCTAGAGCAGTCATGCTACCTGATTCTGCAGAGTCCTTTACAATGTCAACTTTAGTTGCATTTCCTCTTTGTATCAAAGGCCCCTAAACTATTTATTTTTATTTTTCCCTCTGAGGGAGAAAATATAATGATGTTATTTCAGTTTTGCCATTAAATGGTCATAGCACATTTATAAGTAAAGATATTTGGGTTTTTTATTCAGTAGTGAGAGTACTTTCCAAAACTAATGCTTCGAAGCACGATTTGCACAAGGAATCAAAAAGGCAAATGAAGACAGATAAGGCAGATAGTAAGAGCAACAAGCATGGAGTATTAGAGTAAAACATGTATACACACTTCTTCGGACAAAACTGGCAGTCTCAAGTGGTTGGTAGTAACGCTGTCACCATATCGGTTGACTGTTTTGTTCATCCTCTGCATTTCTTCTAAATGGGGGGCTCTTGGCATACACCAGGTTGCTAGATGAGGAAGAGATCAAACTGCTTTGTTTTGTTTGCAGCATCAATCGTGCCCCAACGGAAGAGTGACTTGTCAAAGGTTGTGGTCAGGGCCCTCTTCACAGGGGCCTGTGTATCTCTTATCAGTGCCTGTATGGCAGGTAGGTGCCTCAGATTGGTCTCTTGGCAAAAATCACCTACCTAGACCATGACAGGATCTCATTCAGAATATTGATTTAACTATCTATTCCACAGTTGCATGGAAAAGGCACCTAATAACCAACAGTGTTGCCAATTCACAACAAAGCGGTGAAGAACTTTGAGGAATATGTGTCAAAATTTCCCCTTAATATATTTGTCTCCTTTATCCAGGAATCCTCTACGTCCCCAGGGGAGCTGAAACTGACTGTGTGTCCTTCCTAAACACAAGTTTCACCAACAGAACCTATGACACCTATGTGTGCTGCAGAGAGCTCTTTCAGAGGTGAGTGAGCACCAGGACCCTGTTCCTTTCTTTTATATGCTCCATTCCACAAAAGAATCTTCTGGAGGTGGGAGAAAGAAGGTTTAGAGGATAGTCCTGTGGAAGCTGAATAGAGTGTGTAAGCAGAGAGATGGGTATTGGTGATGGCCTAGATCCATGTTCTTTTCTCCTATTAGGTGTATCTTCAGTTGTAGTACTATTATGCCCAAGTGACAGGTTTTATCTGTATTGGTGGGATCCTGAGGAGTAGAGGGGCAGGGGAAGAAAAAGGGTAGTTTCTCTAATAAGAAGTTACTGTATTTATAGTGACTGAAATAAAACACAAGGGAAAAGATAAAGATTTAGCATTTATAGGCTTCTTCAGACAGAAAGACCAAGAGAAGACAAATTTGAATTTATAAAATTATGATTTGTTCAGATAGTGAAACTGAACTTATTCACAAATTCTAGAACATGAAAAGAAGAGAATGTATAATTAAGTTAAAGTAACTAGCTTTGGGACACATAAAAGGAAGGATTTGAGGAAATGGAATATTTAGTACCATCAAAGCAAGAGGTCTGTGTTTACTAGTAATGATGTATAGGTGAGGAGAGTTCTGTGAAATAAGGCTGAAATATCATAAAAGACTTCATATGAAACATGGGAGGTAAGACTGGAAATGTCACAAAAGAGTGACATTTAGATTTTGACCTGCAGAATTCTGAACACAGTATGATCAACTGTACTTTTTCAAAAGATCATTTTGTAGCCATTTGGAGAGCAGGAGGCGAATAAGCACACTGCTATGGTTGTCTTAGTAAGAGATGTTGAGAGCTGATACTAGGTAGTTAGGAGGGTAGAGATGCATTAGTCTGAGGAGAATCAATAGGGCTGGTCATCAGCTAGATAATAGGAAGGGATAGGATGAAGTGGGTGGCTTGGGCAAGTGGGTCTAAGGAGAGCTATTCCTTCACTGAGAAAAAGGGGACTAGTTCTAGAAATAGGAGTAAAGGAGAGGGATTATGGCCTCATTCAGTTTTGAATATGTTGGAGGTACCTATGTGACCACCATGTGAAGGTACTCACAACCCAACTTTGCTCTGGAGTTCAGTACCAGATAGCTTTGGAAGTTATCAATAAGTAAGTGATCTGTTCACTGTATATGTAGGTAGTTATCAGATGCCTTAACAGGTTGTTAGGCTAAGTAAATGAATGTTGTCCTACCCCTGTGTTTGGAGGTTATCACCAATGAAGGCAACCAATATCCTCCAAAATAATCCTTTGATGTACTACTAAGATGAATTATGGACTGGACAGATCATTGGTATGGTATAGTTGTGATTCCTATGTTCTGTGGCAGTCAGTGAATTTCCTAAAGCCACATACTAAGAGTCATTAGTAGCTAATATCAGAAAGGGCTAATGTTTTTGTCTAATTAATTTATACTAATGAAGTCTGAATGGGTTTCCTTTTTCAAGAGGAAAACGGTCTTGGGTTACGTCTTTTTTTTTTTTTTTTTTAGAAAAAAATTCAACTCTATATCATTACAAGGCATATATTTTACCTCAACTCTCTGGAAAGGAAATATCCAAATAGTCTCTGGTTAGGAATTGGGCATAGGAGCATATACTTCATGCAAAATCCCTTGGTAGTATTAACTGGGATATGAATGAGAAAATTAATTGGATCCAATTTAATCATGGCTAATGGATCCATTTGTAAGGTTTGTTGTTTTCAGTACTTGGTAAAATTTATTGATATGTTTTGTTGCCTTGTTTTCATCTGACCTACTGTAAATCTCTCTGGTTTTTCATTTAAGTACTTCTTTGAATGGCACCAACCCACCTTCTTTCTTGGGTACTTGGGAAGACCAGGAGTTCAGTGCCATGGCGCTTGCTAACTGTTGTGAATTCTACAACAATGTCATCTGTGTCTAAGACTGGTTCGAACATTTCCAAAACAGTTCTGATCTTAACAGTTCTTTGATAGCAGAGGCATTTATGTACTCTACAAGGAACTCACTAAGATCTATAATAATAGATGTAAATATTCATTTTGGTTCACTGTACCCCAATAATGAAAATTAACATTCATCTTTCCATTGCTTGGCTGAACCAAGTAGGAAATTCCTCATGAGCCCTCCTGAGATTTTATTTGAAAAAATAAATATTAGCATATTAATCTTGAAAATCTTTCTCCTAGTTGCCATCTTAAAAGTGATGTGCTGCAGTGTTCTATAAAAGTGTCCTGGGGAGGGAGTGAGTGGAGTATATTTCTTGGAGTTCTGTGGATGAGCTGGGTTTCTGTTGCTAAAGTTACATAGGAAAGGTACATGAATATTTAATGATAAGTTTTTCTGGTTATCACATATTTGCAAATCTGCAGACTCCTTAACATGGTTATAGAGTAAGCACATATTCTTCATATACAAACTTCTAAAGAACACTTGCTTTTAAAAAATTCATTATTATTGTTCTGGGTGTACATTGTGACATTTACCAAAGTTTTTACAATATATCATATTGAATTCACACTCCCCATCATTCTTTTTTACCCTCATTTATTCCTCATTTCTGGAATAGTTTAAACAGGTCTCATTTTCTATTTTTATACATTTTCACCATATCCATTCTCCTACACCCTTGGATACTTGCTCCTTAAAGGCTTTTACTTTGTTTTAGCATTCTATTATTGGTGTAGCCATATCTGCTTCAAACTTACAGAGAATCTGCTAAAACAGTGGTTTTCAGTGGGAAGAGGGCAGGAGGAGTTACAATTTTGCTTCCCAGGGACATTAGCAATGTCTCTAGACATCTGGGAGGATGTTACTGACATCTACTGGGTAGAGACCGGGATTGCTGCTAAAATTCCTACAATGCCTAGGTCAGCCTTCCACAACAAAGAATTCTCTGGCTCCAAATATCAATCAGTGCTGAGAAAGTGATTCTCAACATTTAATTTATATTCCAATTTATTTAATATCACTTACAATATTAATAATACAGTCTTAAGGAAGGATTTCAAAAGGATATAGGAATTCCTCAAAAAATTAGAGTTATATGACCAGACAAATTCCATTCCACATATATTCTCAAAGATCTGAAAACAGGCCCTCAAACAAGTATATGTACATTTGTGTTCATAACAGCACTGTTACAACAGTCAAAAAGTGGAAACAGTCCAAATGTCCATCAACAGGTGAATGGATAAACAGATCCTGGCATATAGCTACAATGAAATTTTATTCAACCATTAAGAGGATATACTATTGATACATGCTATGCAGAGGAACCATGAAAACACTATGCTAAGTGAAAAAGAGCAGACACAAAAGGGTTATTATTGTATGATTTCATTATATGAAACGCCCAGAGTAGATAAATCCAGAGATTGGACACAGATTGGTGCTTGCCAGGGCTTGAGGGAGGTGTGTGTCTGTTGGGAGGATACTAAAGAATGACTGCTTAACGAGCAGGAGTTTTCCTTTGGGGTGACGAGAATGTTTTAGAACTAGGTAGACATGGTTGTTGTGCACACACATTGTGCATGTTCTAAACGCTACTGAATTATTCAGTTTAAAATGGTTAACTTTATGATATGTGAATTTCATGTCAATAAAAAATTTTTTAAAGGATTGTAATTACTCATATGTTCTCAAGTTAACCTACAGCTCATCCAATTTCTCAGTTCTCTGAGCTCAGAACTTTTTGGTTTTTTTCTCAGTCCCCATTCCTACTTTCTCTCCTATGTTTTCCAAATTTGACTTATTAAAAAAAAATGGAAGTGTCAATAAATTGTTTCTTTAACTGCAGACTAATTTTGCCGTGTGCCTGGTTTCTTTTTGAGAGGCGGTAAAATACACCTGCAGAATACAGTGATTGGCAGAATTGGACACTGGGCCAGGTTACCTGAGTTCTATTACAGGCTCTACCATTCACCACGAGGGGGATCTTGGGCAAGTTCCTTAACTCCTCTGTGCCTTGGTATCTTCGACTGTAAGGTGGGAATAGTGAGACCTACCTTTTAGGTAAGGATTGTGAAGTGGTTGTAATAAGATCAGTGGCTGCTCACCTAAGCCCAGCGTAAGGTTAGCTACTCTCATTGCTGTTTAAAGAGCTGCATTCATGACTATCATTTTTTATGTGTAAAATTCACTTTACACAAGGAAGCATGTGGGAATGAGGGAAACTCCTTATCTTCCTTCAGGGACAATTCTGTTTTCTATTTAAAGAAAATCTAATGTATACTCTTGCATTTAAGGAGCCTCCGTGGGAATCTTAGCATCAGTGTCTACAAAACAGTCTCAAAAGCCAGAGAGACTAGAGAAAAGCAGGGACTATTACCTCAGTAACCACTATGTCCAGTCTTGGATCAAGAGATGCTTTCAGGTGAGGATGGGCATGGTGCAGCCAGAAATGGGCTGAGCCAGCCTGGGTGCCAAGCTCAAAGAATCCTGGGAGGCACAAAACCTGGATCAGTGGCCCTGTGACTCTGCTCTGGTTACAGGGCAAATGTGCTGAGATACTTCTGTACTCTGGAAAGGGAGTGGGCAACAGAAGAGGCTGAGGAAGAGGGTAGGAAGAGTCCCAAGAGAAAAAGACAGGGAGGATCAGGAGAGATGGTTGTTGTGCCAGGTATGGGTAGTAGTATGGAAAGGAGACTACAAGGTTGAAGAAAGAGGTGGGGCAGGCAGGGTCACCTGTCCACAACTGCTTTTTTTAGCTTAATGTGTATGTACATCTTTCTAGGCCAGGATATATAGATCTGTTTCATTCTTTTTACTTGGCTTTATTGTATTTCACATAAGGATGTACCGTAAGTTAACCATTTCCCTATCAATGGGCATTTAGATTGACATATATTTGGCCAGTCATTTCTAGAGCCTCATTAAGATGGACAAAGGGCTGAGAATTGGTGGCTCACACCTGTAATCCTAACGACTCAGGAGTCAGCGATCAGGAGGATCACGGTTCAAAACCAGCCCAGGCAAATAGTTCACCAGACCCTATCTCAAAAATAC